TCCCCCTTTCCGGCCGCCCTGGCTGCGTGAGGGCCTCTTCCATCCAGCCTGCTCTGCCTAGCTTGGAATATTTGCTGCAGTCAGGAAAGAATTATCCTTCCAAAGCCTTGAGGGAGGGGTCTCCTCCCTCCTGGAGCCTTTCTTCCACCTGTTAAGGAACGCCTGGATGTGTCACAACCCTAGGCTCCCTGGGAAGGCGGACCGTGGAAACCTGGGAGGCCTCCACTTTTGGAGGGAACAGCTCCAGATGGGCTCGGAGGTCATCCCAGAAACACTCAGAAGCGAGACCTGGTTGAAGGGAGTTGGTGGTGACTTCGAGCGAGAAAGAAAAGGGCCCATTTTGGCCGGGGTGGGGGTGGGGGACAAATGAGGGCGCTCAATCAGAAAAGAACACACGCTTTCTCTCCGTAAAGTAAAATAACAATTCAAAGCCCCATGAGAGAAAAAGGGGGCTTGGTGGGACCGAAGGCCACTGTGTAGAGTGGCGTCTGGCCTGGCCTTCAGGGAAGCAGATGACCAAGTCAAGCCGAAACCCTTACTACTTTAATTTAAAGAGGAGGAGGGTCTTGGGACAACGAGAAGTACTAGCTCTTTCTCAGTAACTCCAGCAGCAGCGGAGCCTCTTCCTAGTTCTGTATTCCTGTCCACTTCGCACCTAGGAAGCCTGTAGCCCAAGCGCCAAGCTTAATTGTCAGTCCGCCATAGCTTCTCAGACATGTAAGGAAAATCATTTAACCCCGGGAGCCGTCAAGGCACATCTTCAGGGTACACCTTTTATTTTACACGCGCCTCAATTAATGGATCGCAAACCCCAGCCGCGAGAACCAAGCCGTTTGGCAAAATCTCCAACGGGGGTGGGGGGGTGCGAAGGCAACGCCAATAAAACTTGCCAGGCGCGGCGAGAAAGGAGATTGTGGCTGCTCGCAGCAGAGGCCATCTCTGGTCTGGAGGGTGTGTGGGAGATTCCTGGAGTCGTGGTTTAGGGGTGAGAGTTAACTGCGAAAGAACAGAATTCGTCCTAATCAAGTAAGACAGGCCGGCCGGAGCCGGCCGCGGGAAGCGCCAGCTGCTCTCCGGGTTGGGGGAGAGGGGTGGGAGCCGGAGCCCCGAGCTGCCGCTCCGACCCTCCGCAGCGCCAGACTCGGTGGAGGAAGTCTCCGGCGAACCGGAACCTGAGGTCGAGGAAGGGGAGCAGGTTGGGACGGGCGGGCGCTGCGCGGGCCGTGGGGGTACCAGCGCGCGGCGAGGCTCGGGGAGAATTCTTGGGCTCCCGCGCGGGCGAGTGTTCTGGGAGGGTGTTCGGGCTCTGGAAGGCCTTTATACCTTAGTCGGAGAGGCCGGCGGCAGGTCGTGGTGCTGGCGAGCAATTGGGCTATTGTTGATATGCTAATGAGCCGATTAGGCTGTTGGTAAAGAGCTGGAAAAGAGAAAAGTTTCTACCATTAGAGGGAGATCTCCGAGCGCACACACGAGCTCTCTCCCTTTTTTCGCCTCCTCCTCCTCCTCCTCGCCCTTTTCCTCCTCCTCCTCCTCTCCCTCCTCCTCCTCCTCCTCCTCTCCCTCCTCCTCCTCCTGCTCGCCCTCCTCCTCCTCCCGTGCTCACCGCCGGCAGCCGGCACTTTGCGCTTACCCAGAGTCGCTCCACTAGGGTGGGAGGCAGAGAGGGGCAGATCTGTTCCCGCCGATCCATGAAAATGCTTTGGAAACTGACGGATAATATCAAGTACGAGGATTGCGAGGTAAGCGTGGCCCGGGTTCCGTCACCCTCGCGGCCGGCCACAGGCTCGGAGCTCGACCCTCCCGCGGCTCCTCCTCTCCTCGCCGTCAGCTGCGAAGCGCGGGTGGGACAAACTTTCCCCAGCGCTGCGCCCGCCCCTCCGATTCGCCCGAAGAACCCGGGGTGGGGTGGGGGTGGGGTGGGGGAGCAGCCTGAAAGGGAGGATTCGGTCGTTCCCTTCTTTGGATTCTTTCCTCGGGAAGGAAATGTCCCACTTTCCCCCCTTTTTTTCTGACCATGTTGACGGCGCCCAGGAGTAAGGCAGAGAGAGGACTGGGGGGTGAGAGACCATCACTGCCAACGGGGCGCGCGCCTGTGCAGCGCACTCCGCAGGTCCCCCGCGCGACTCGGTGGCCCCAAGGCACCGGGAAGAGAAAGCCCCTTGGCCTCTTGAACTTCCTCTCTGCCTTTTCGACTTCCTTCCTTCCTCTCCTTCTTCCTCCTAACAAAAAACCATCAAGCCCTCCCAATTAGGGGAAAGGCCTGTACTCTTCACTCCTGAGCTGGGTTGGCACCTCTGGGTCCAGTTCGGGTTGGGAGAGCGCTTTGCGGAGGCTCCTGGTTCTCGCTGTTGTTCTAGAAGTTCTTAGCAGCTCTCCCCGGAGTCCGAGCGATCCGAGGCAGTGGCAGGGAGGCTGCGCGG